TACAAGATCTTGGACACACCATCTGCCATCGATGCATCCAAAGACAACGAAGGAGAGAAGCCGGAGTCTTGTCTTGGTCGTATTCAAGCTACAGGCGTGAACTTCACGTACCCCAGTCGGCCGGATGTGCAGATTCTGAACGACTACAACGTCACCATTGAACCTGGTCAGACTGTCGCCTTTGTTGGTGCGAGTGGAGGTGGTAAGAGTACTCTCATCTCGCTGCTTGAGCGCTTCTACGACCCTCAAGAAGGCTCCATCTTGCTGGACGGACGAGATGTCAAGACGCTGAACGTGAAATGGCTACGGTCACAGATCGGTCTCGTATCGCAAGAGCCTGTGCTGTTCGCTACTACCATCTTTGAGAACATCGCAGCGGGTGGAAATGAAATCTCTCGTGACCAGGTGATGGCAGCGGCAAAGCTGGCCAACGCCCACAATTTCATCATGTCGTTACCGGAACAGTACGATACACTGGTAGGTGAGAAGGGAGTGTCATTGTCGGGTGGTCAGAAGCAGCGTGTAGCTATCGCTCGAGCGATTGTGCGTGAACCAAAGATGCTGGTACTGGATGAAGCGACAAGTGCACTAGATGCAGAGAGCGAGCGAGTGGTTCAGGCAGCTTTGAACGATTTGATGGACAAGACTCGCATGACGACGCTGGTGATCGCTCATCGGTTGAGTACGATTCGAAACGCAGACAAGATCGTAGTGGTGAATGGTGGTCACGTAGTCGAGGAAGGAAACCACGCTGAGCTATTGACAATTGAGGATGGAATCTACAACAAGTTGTACACAATCCAAGAAGAGAAAGCTCAAGAAGAAGCTCAAGCTGCAGCTTCTGCGTTGAAAGAAGCTGAGTTGGGAGAACCGCACTCACAAAGTTTACGCCATCACAGTAGTCGGTCTGTCAATAGTGACCACATGGAGGAGGACAAGAAGGCGAGTCTGGAGAAAGCAGATACAAGCAAGACGTTTACGATCTTCGACGCCATCGCGTTCTCCCGTCCTGAGAGATCTGCATTCATCGTTGGTATCTTCGCTGCTGCGGTCATGGGTTGTGCTCTACCAAGTTCTGCAGTACTCATCAGTGAGCTGGTTGCGACCATGACGACAAACTACACTCTGTACAAAGAATCAAACGTCCAATCTGCGCTGGATGATCTCAAGCACGACGTGATGGTGTATGGCCTCTGTTATGTAGGCGGATCCGTCGTCATGTTTCTCGCTGCAGCGACCCAGAACTATTGCTTCAAGTACATGGCGGAGAAACTCACCTCCCGACTACGAGACATCCACTTTACCGCACTATGTCGACAAAATATTGGTTTCTTCGATGAGAAGAAGAACGCAACGGGTGCTTTAACCGCTGATCTCTCGACGAACGCTACGAAAGTTGCTCTTATCTCCGGTGACTCGCAGGGACGCGTTGTTCAGGCGATCTTCACGTTTGTAGCAGCGTTGGTGATCTCCTTCACGACTGGAAGTTGGTTGTTGACACTCGTGATGTTGGCTGTGTTCCCGTTCTTGATAGCCGGCCAAATGGTTCGTATGCATCAAATGAAGTCGTCTGGACATCTGTCGGATGAGCTTTCAGACGTTGGCGCTCACGCTTCAGAAGCTTTGAGTAACATCCGTACCGTGGTCTCTCTGGGACTGGAAAACTCGATTTGTGGCAAGTTTTCTGCCTTGTTGGAAGAACCATTGGCCAGTGGACGTCGTGAAGCTCAGCTCAACGGACTTGCGCTTGGCTTCAGCTCGTTCATTCTCTTCGCGACCTATTCGCTCGTGTTCTGGTACGGCGGAAAGTTAGTGGATGACCGAGAGATTAACTTCAAAGAGCTCATGAGAACGCTCATGGCCATCATGATGTCGGCCCAGGGCATTGGCAACGCAACTTCCTTTATGGGCGAGTCTGACAACGCATTGAAGGCCGGTAAGGCGATCGTTGAGCTTCA